CGACCGGGGACCCGGTGTTCAGCAACCTGAGTCACAAAACTTGGGAGTGGGAAGGCCGGGGTTTGAACCCAGGCCTTGCCGTTGCCGTAGTGACAGTGGTACAGGTCGTGGCCGCTTTTGAATGGGGTAGTGCTGAGAAAAGGTGACAACCTGTAGGGGCCAAGAAACTTGTGTCCTGGCCTTACGGTAGGCTTCGACCTCTGACCGTGAGGCTGCTTGTGATGCACAGATGTAACGTCAGTTCACTCTCCTGTTTCAGATGACAGAGTTGTCGTCACTTACTCAAAAGGCTACTCGTGTGGGGGAAACAAGACTGCCTCGTCCGTGATCGAGCTGACCTGTGCCAAGACGGTGGGCAGGCCTTCCTTCAGTAGGTGAGCCGGGGGCTGAGTGGAGCCCTGCAGGGAGCGTGCTGGGAGCTCTCGGTGGTTTTCCCTGGAGGTTTGTGTGTGCGAGTGTTGGGCTGTCACGGTAGAGGGGCGGGCTGCTGGACTCAGGGCCTGGCCAGAGCTGCCGAGTGCCGGCTGCTCCGCATGAGGTGGGTTCCCAGATCAAGTGCTGAGACTCTGCAGCAGGTGAACTTCTGCCCGGCCTCAGATCACGTGTGCTGGCCCCGCCATAGCCCTGTCTGCGCTAGCCGGGCGGTACCGCGTGGCCTCCGACGTCGAACGTTGTAGTAGAACCAAAGGACATTGATTGTACCACCCATGGGCAACTGTTCGAGCTGCCTGTCTGGGACCCACAGCAGGGGGAGCCTGCACCAGGCCAGTCTTGGGTCTCCTCTTGTCGAAGGGGAATGTTTCAAGACCCCCGTGGATGCCTGAAACTGCAGATGGTGCTCAGGCCCACACATGTGATGTTTTTCTGTCCAACAAGTGGGACGGCTACTCGATGACTGACGAGTGAGAGCACGTGCAGTGTGGACCTGCTGGATGAGAGGCCCACCCTGTGCTGGATCGCAGGCCATGTCAGCACTGCCAGAGCACCGTGCCCATAAGAGACCACAGACAAGGGGGTCCATCTTGGCATTCCCCAGGCAACACTGTTTCTGGTGCTCGGGAGAGATGAACCAACAGGGGGAGCCCTGAGCTGCTGCTTATGAGCAAACCAATTCCTTGCAGGAGCTGCACTTAGGAAAAGGGAGAGCCAGAAATTGTCACAGGACTTATCGATGTAAGAGTTGGAGGGGTTTATTTAAAAAAAATTAAAAAGTCTAGGAGCAGAAGTACCCAGCTTTGAAATACCGTGTGGCTTCTCAGTTTTGAAGAGTTTGTGTTGAATGCTGGCCTGCCCCTTCACCTTACGGATTTGCTACATGGTTGTTCGCCTTCCCCTAGTGCTGAGGAAACCGCGAAGACCTGTCCCTGCCTCGAGCTGCTGTCAGTGCTGAGTCTGGACATCCTGATGGAGCTAGTGCAGCCCTGGGGCTGGAGGCCTTGGCTGACAGGGGTCCCTGCAAGGCCCTGGGGCTGCAGGTGGTGGAGACCACTGCCGTGCCTTATTGAAAGCTAGCGAGCTTCTCTGGGGACCCAGCAGATGTGCATTTGTCTTGCCGTCGCTGTCATTGTCTGGCGGGGTGACTGGGTGTGCTTCTCCCTTCCAGGTTTGACATCGACAGCTGCACCTACTACTTCAGCTGGGACTCGCGGGCGGCCTGTGCTGTGAAGCCCCAGGAGGTGCAGATGGTGAACGGGACCATCACCAATCCTGTAAATGGCAAGAGCTTCAGCCTCGGGGACATTTACTTTAAGTAAGTGAAACGTTTTCCCTTTTAGCACTGAAGTGCATTTGGAATGAGGCCAGCTGTTGGGTTTCTGCCTCTGGGGAGCATTGCCAGACCAGCAGGCCTGTGTGTCTTAGTTACTGTTGCTGGAGAAGTTGTCCTAAGTGCTGAGACTGAGGAGAAGCATTACTCAACCCTAGGTTTTAACACCAAAGATGGTGCGTTCTCCTGAGGGTAAAAATAGAACCCTCTCCGCCCTCACTTCATGATAAGCTCAAAGGGAGCCAGAGCCTTCTGGAAACATGTTTGAACAGGAATCTTCTGGGCTTACCAGTTTATAAAAATAGAAAAGCAGCGAGGTCACTGGGGCTGTTCGGGGGGTCTGGTGGCTGAGCTGGCCGGCCACACCAGCTGGCGGTGCACAGGTGGGTGAGGTGCCCGTGAGAAAGGCGCAGGAGTGCAGTGAGGCCAGCGGCAGTGGTGGGAGAGCGAGGCGGTGGAGGTGGAAGCTCGTGCCTTTGGAGTCCTCGTGGGATCACAGAGACGCTGTCCAGCTTGTGGAAGCCCCAGAGAGGAAGCGCTCTGGGACCCTGCAGCCGTTTGGAGTGCTGGGTTCATGTCATCAGTGACCTTGAAGGACTTGGAGTGACCATGACCTTTCTGTCTGTCCAGGCTGTTCAGTGCTTCTGGGGACATGAGGACGAATGGGGACAGCTACCTGTATGAAATCCAGCTTTCGTCCATCACAAGCTCCACTAACCCGGCTTGCTTTGGGGCCAACATATGCCAGGTCAAGCCCAATGACCAGCGCTTTAGCAGAAAAGTCGGGACTTCGGATAAAACCAAGTACTACGTGCAAGGTAACCAGTTTCTGCTGATGGTTCCTGCTCAGCCGCCTTGAGGAAGAGCTTTAAAGTTTGCACCAACACGCCGTCCTTAATTTAAGCCTCAGATCAGTGGTAGAATGACAGCCGGGGCTGGCTTTATGTCTAGTATGCCCTTCGTCACAATGGACCGAGCGTAGGTGCCAGACCCAAGAGTGTCCCTGCAGCGAGTCACAGCTCAGCTAATGAGAGGTCTCCGCCAGGGGTTCCGAGAAGGCCGGAGGCCGAGCGAGCAGTCGGAATGCCCTTCGAGGTGGTTTTAGCGTGCGTGTGTATGTGCGGGAGTGCGTACTTCTTTACTTTTGACTCCCAAAACCCCTTTCAGATCTGTCATCTCCTTCATTCACTAGAAAGTGGGTTTAGTTTTTAAAACTCTGGTCCTGTTTCATGAGGAAATGCAGTTTGAGCTGGTTGGTGGCCTGCCCATTGGAGAGGGCGAGAGCAGGCCTCTTGAGCAAGCTTGTGTTCTTTACCTTAGGCTGGTTTGCAGCAGGGGCTCCGTCGATACGCGTCCTGTGGCCTCTGCTGTAAAGAGAGCACGTGGGACGTTTGACACTGTCATCGTGTCTGACTTCAAGGCCGTGCAGAGTCCTCGCTGACTGGAACGACGCGCCCGGTCTGTCAGGAAGAGGCTGATGCGCACCACACTGCTTACGTGTGTCCTTCCTTCACAGATGGCGACCTAGACGTTGTGTTCGCCTCGTCCTCCAAGTGTGGGAAAGACAAGACCAAGTCCGTCTCTTCCACCATCTTCTTCCACTGTGACCCTCTGGTGAAAGACGGGATCCCCGAGTTCAGCCACGAGACTGCCGACTGCCAGTACCTCTTCTCCTGGTACACCTCGGCCGTGTGTCCTCTGGGGTACGTTCAGGGTTCTGGAACTTAGTGGCTACGGGCACCCCCTTCCTCCAACCTTAGCACAGGGGTGTGTGTGTGTGCGTGTGTGGTTCCCCAGTGTTTTATGATGAGATACTCAAATATGCACAGAAAGCGGAGAACACGGAGAGTCCGAGCCAGCGCCGGCCCCCGCGATGAACACAGGCTGCTGGGCCCACACCAGCGTTCCCAGCAGCTGCCACTCACCTCCTTAGAGCACACCGGGCTCCAGCCGGAGCACTCCCACTGTCCTCTGTACTTTCCCCTTGGCCTCTGGGAGGCAGATGCCAGCCGGGCCTGTCTTTGTGGTCCCAAATTTTCACATGGTGAAACTCCTTTCCGATTTTACTGAAGTGTTCGAATAAATAGAAACTTCCCTGCAGATCTTGACAGTCAGCCACAGGCCGAGTTCACAGGAGCAGAAGGGAAACACACCTCTGCTCGGGTGACTCCTGCCTGTCCTTTCCCGGAAAGGGGCTCTGAGAGCTGCGGACAGCAGCGACAGGGAAGGTGGGGGAAATTCAGACCCCACCGTGAAGATCTGGACGCTGTTTGGGCTTTATCTGTGGGTAGCAGAAAGCAGCTTTGTCCTAATCCAGTGTCCTGGGGACACACTAAGCTCTGAGCTGCACGGTCGTGGACGAGGCTCTTGGGTTATACTTTCTGCTCTCAAATACTGAGCTGTTCTGTTGATGTCATTACAAGTAGAAGGATTGAAATTAGAATTTATTTGTAGAAGTAAAGACTGAATTTAAAAACAGATGAAATGGGGCCAGTTGGTGTGGTGAAGGTGTCTGGAACCCATGTGGCTGACTGCAGGTCGAGTCCTGACCCAGCAGCTTGAGAAAAACATGCCAAGCTTACATGCATGTATGCCCAAAATCCCAAGAAGAACAGAGAAGGGATTGCGGGGTGGCCAGCCCTGGGGGATGCTTTCTCACTTTGTCTCTGTCTCTCTCTGGTAAGGGCACATACCCTCTGGCAGATTGAAGCAGGGGGAAGATGACACTTAAAAATGACCTTTCTGGTATTCTCTGTCTCTGAGAGGCTGAAGATGCCATAAAATAAACCCCGCCTCCTGGCATACAGCTGGTCTGAGTGCTGGCTTGGCAGAGACCAGTCTAGGCCTGCGGTTTTCAGAGTGGGATGTTGGGCAGGCGGACCTCCTGCGGGTGGGAGAGGTGGTGTTAGAATGTAGGGAGGGTAATTGCCGAAATACCTGGACATGTTGATAAGGCAGTAAAGACTGAGAGACAGAAGTTCAAACCAACAGCAAACATTCTGCCTTTAGAGTGGCTTTTCACTTCCCACTCGAGCTGGGCTGGATGGACGGACCGTGCTGAGGTCCTGCCTCAGCTGTGAAGTGGAAGAGTGTTGGCACTTTTTCCTCTACTTCGTCAAAATACTAGTTGGACATTTTAGAAATGACGGGTCTGCAGTGGCCTAGCGTTTACACAGCTGTATTCCCACATGGCTGACCGCGGTTTGTCCTGGACCTGGTGTCCTCAGAGTCACACCAGGCGAGAGTGTGTGTGCGTGTGCGTGCACGCGTGGGCCCAAGGTTCCGGGTGGAGAATGGAGAAGGGACTGTGGTATGGCCATCCCCCGGGGGATGGTGATTTCTTACTTTCCCTCTCTATCTCTGCCTCTCTCTCCCTTAAGCACATGCACACTAAGGCAAAAACTTCTTTTTTTTTTTTTTAAAAAAAAAGAAGAAATAGCAGCAATTAGCACCTTAGTACAGGAGCATTTTTAGTTCCTTTAGTGATTTCTTATGGAATTTATCTCAATTTTTTTTTTTTTAACATTTGTTTCCTTAAGGTGTTTTTTTTTTTTTTTTTTTTTAATGCCTGCGGGTGTATAGTTACCAGAGAGAGTGAAAGCACCACTCAGTAGGGTGTGGTCATGCCTCTATCCCCTCTTCATTTTTCTACCCATTAAGATTTTGAGGGTACACACACACCTGGCATGTTCTTAAAGCTGCAGGAGCCAGGATTTGAACTGTGGTCGGCCACATCAGTCTAGCTCTCTATGCACAGCATTAATCAGCGTGCTATGGGGCCGGCCAGACTTCAGTACTTCAAATTAACATTTTATACTGTGCTTGTTGGCCCCTTCAATGCCGGATAAACATGTCGCTGTCTTACACCCTGCCCTTTCTTTCTAAGAACGATTTATTTCACAATTTTTGGTATGTATTTATAAAACAAAAACCTTCCACAAAGTTAAAAACCATGCATCTCCAGGAGGAAGGGGCCCACTTCCGGCCCATCCCAGTTGAAAGGCAGTCAGACCACACCGTGGGGAATACAGACTGGTGAGTGTAGAGAAAGGTCTGAGAAGCTCCGGGGAAGCTACTTGGTCAAGCCAAAGTGAGAAAGATGAACATGTTGGATCGTCCGTAGTGTGTGAGCCAGCTGAGTGGGATGGCAGGTCGAGTTTCTTACTATTTGCAAGACACTGGGTAATTTTTAGTATTTTCTCAGTACACATGCCAATGTTTAAGGATAACCATTGCGAGAACAGAAGTGTATTATGCAGCTTCCAATATGGTAGAGAATAAAAGGGGAAATTGAAAAAAAAAAACCCTTAAATCCCCCCCAAAGACAGAAAAGGACAAAGCTATAACAAAATGAAGGGCAAGCAGAAATTACTACCTAAGATGGTAGAACTCTAAATATATCAGTAACTGTGCTAAAAATAAATGGACTAATCTTTGCTTTCAGTTAAAAAACAGATTGTTAAATTGGATGTAAAATAAAAACTCACTTATTTCTTCGACAGAGAGAGAAGCAGGCTTCCATCCATCTGGGTCACAGGTGTGCGCGTTGTCTTGGGTTGGCCTGGGAGCCAAACCAGATTGTCCACATGGCCCCACCATTGCAGAGCGGCGTCCACCGCCTGTCCCACCACGCTGGCTTCCAGTTGGGTTATAAAAACAACTGTGTTGGACTAGCCCTAGGACAAGGACACAGAGACAAACCGAAGACTTAAAGGAGGTAGCCAGGACAGTAGTAATGCAAAAGAAAGCTGGAGTGGTTGTGTTACTGTTAGATAAAACAGCAAAGGAGAGGCGGGTTAGGGCTGAGGGGGTTCTTATCTCGGCCAAGGGTCAGTTCACTCGGAAGGTACCAGACACGCGAACTTGCAGCCTAATGACAGAGGCTCAGCGAGGTCCAGCTGTGGTGGCATGATCTGCAATGCCGAAGCCTCAGGAGAGCTTCAGATTTGGTTCCAGGTCGACTTGTCTCATCCCAGATACTTAGGGATTCCAGAGGGTGGATTGTGGGTGACCCTCTTGGGGGGTGCTTCTCTTTCTTTATCTCTGTCTTTCAAGAAAGAAACTTAGGGAACCAGCAGTTAGCGTAATGGCTATGTCGCTGGACTCCAACGTAGTCGACCGCGGTTCGCGTCTCAGACCCGGTGGCTTACAACTCACGCCGGGCGCGTGTGCGTGCGTGCCCAAGATCCCGAGAGGAGAATGGAGGAGAAGGGATTGCGGCATGACCAT